AGGGTCTGGCCTATAGGTATAATGTTTTTCTGCCAATTAAAATAAATATTATATATATATATATATATATATATATATATATATATATATATATATATATATATATATATATATATATATATATATATGTTTAAACTGTGAAACATCTTAATATATATAAATCACGTGTCACGTTGTTTGTCCGCGATGGAATCCTAAACTACTTAACCGATTTTAATAAAATTTTGCACACCGGTGCAGTTTGGTTCAACTTGAGAGATAGGAAAGTTTTTTTTTGCCCATGAGTGAACCACATTTTTTTTAGGGTATTTAAGGATTTTAATAAGACATGACATGACAAAGGGTCGTCGAAAAGGGCAGAACAACGTCTGCCTGGCAAGCGAGTTTTTGTATAAAATAAGAGTGACAAACAAATTAACAGTCCACCTGATGGCTAGTGACCACTGCATCCTATTGACACCTGAATCCGACTTTAAATAAAAAAGGCTACAGATTTGTTTTCTTTGTCACCTCTAAGGACACAGATGAGATAGAGAGATTCTTTATATACTTCAGACTCGAACGCAGCACTGCAAGCAATGCTTTTTGGTGCTATAAATAGGCTGGTACCAACCCAAACGAACTCCTCCTAGACAGTAAGAGAGTTTATAAAAGCACTGGGCGAAAATAAAAACAAAGTAAAGAATGACACGAGCAAACAGTCTGTCTGATGGCGAATGGAAGTTGTGTCTCGTAGATACTTGTTTATATCTATTCTAGATTGACAATATAAATGCAGATCCTTTCACACCTCTGAGAACTAAGATGAAATGCCTCATTAACAGTAAAAAGGGTCTTCGATATCTCATGTCTACCCATACCAAAAACTAAGCAGTATTTTGCTGCTATTTTACGCTGGTTCTCTAGAGTGAAAAAAATAAATAATTAATATTATATATGTATATAAATATATATATATATATATATATATATATATTTTATGTGTTATCATATTTTTAACTACTATTATGCAACTTCTATATTGATGTAAAAGATCTCCTTCACCAGTTTCTGAAGAGATCGCTGTTTAATAAGGCCACCTAATTGTACATAAATTTATCAATTTAAGTTTGTTGTTCTTTTTATTATTGTGTGTGCAATAAAGAGTATTGTATTATATTGTATGAGTGTGATCCTTACCCGTTCGCGTCAACCCATTATGAATGCAACGTCATATAGCTGCAGTGTAGCGCCTACTTTTTATAGAATAATGATGACAAACGACCACACAGTCCACCTGATTGTAAGTGAATGCTGAGGTCCATAGACAATTACATTAATCTCCGACTAAGAATCAAAACGTAGATGTGAGATCCTGAGGACTAAAATGGAATGCCTCGATTCCAGTAAAACGGCAACGGCAGCATCAAGCTGCTACTTTACGCTGGTATTCTGTGAGAGCGTGGTCCTACCCCGGTCGAGCCGACGCTTTCGTGCTACAACCATAATATAGCTGGGAAATAAGTAATAGATACCCCTAAACAGACCCTAAATATATTTATATGTTATCCTTCTTTACCAGCTCATAGAAACCCACTGCTGAACTTTGACCTCTCCCATTATAGGAAGAAATCGCTTTGCAGGAAGATTTAGGATTGCTGCACTAAAATTACGCACCTTCAACGTTACCTCACCGAACTATTTTATTAGGTCTATTTGTACGTCTGCGAATCCTTCGGAAGCCATGAGATCATCCTACCATTTCCCGTAGTTTCCTTTTACGATACTTACGCTACGGGACGAAATGGAGATGGCAATATCAAATGTTATATTACAATCTACCTACTATGACGGCAATATCAGCGTGAAGTAGCGGTGTAAGAATATAAGAGGGAAAATGAAGCAAGGGATGATCAGCAACATCTTACTGATAACAACGCAAAATAACTAAAGAAAACTGCGGTTGCCAATACAGCTGGCAAGCGTGGCAACTATGCCAGAATCATCTATGGGGGAGGCCTATGTTCATCAGTTGACTTTTATAGATGGGAGGATGGATATACGAGTATACTTTACCCAAAAATGAAACCTAAAAATTCGATTGTAAATTCTTTCAAAGCTAATGTAAACGACAGATAAATATTTTATTGTGGTTCTCTATCACTTACATCGTAAATCAATAAATTGGTGTATAGATAAACTTCTGTTAAAGTACTAATCAGCTGAAGCGATACTGCAGTTATAAAACATGATATCATATTATTTTACAACGTTCTCAAGACGTTCGATGATAATCGTGACGTATATATTTTTTATAGTTTTATATAATAATAGCTGCCGTTCCTTTGATTTTGCTTGTGTGCACATCTGCAAAGCAATCTTCATTTTAATGCCTTCTCACTGTTGTGAAACTCATTATAGTTTTATTAAGTTTAAAAAAAAGAGCAAGAAATATTCTAAATATCATTCGCAATGCCTTCACGTCCCTTTAAATAAAACCATCCATCGCCAAAATTAAGGACATTCAAAAATTTTAAAAGGTATTACGGCACCAAAATCAGACATAGATTTATTTAACACCAGTGTTCACAATTTAAAGAATAATTTACGGATTTCTAATTATTTCTTTCAGTAGATCTCTTTAAATAGGCGTTTGTTTTTTAATTATTACATTTCACCAACTTGTTAAATGTTTACTATTTTCATTTTATCTGTGAAAACTTGTAATCGGCCTTCTTTTTATTTTTATGTATTTCTTAAAGTTTTAGCTATAAGCTATAAGTTATCCAATATAATAAAATAAAATAAAACAAGTTTTTCGGATTTTATCGTGTATAATATACTTATTATATATTTCTGACGTTTCGAGTACTTTACACCACTCACGATCACATGGGCCACGGCTACTTTCAGATTAAAATTGTTAGTTTTTGTTTCTGATACTATGAACTTATGATATCTTAAAGTCCTGCAGTTTTATGCTTTGGTTGGGATTTAATTTTATTAATTATAGGATCCCAAGCCGATGGTAGCACCCAGCCATGTTCTCTATTAAAATTAGGATGTTTTTTGATTTCAATCGCCTCGCGAATCATCTTTGGAAGAAATCGGTATTCTTTAGCGAGGATTTGTGGTCTATCGAATCTGATCTAGTGACAGGGGCGATCCTGTACGTATTCACAGACTGCACGTTTGTACACTCCTGCCTCTTGCAAAGGGATATTACACTTGACTGATGGTGTAAACTGACCTAATCTTCTTCCGCGGCTTCTTGTTTCTATGGAAGTTTGCTACAAGATGTAGCCAATCTTGCCAGTGTCACTTCCGATATATACAGTCCGATATAGGCAGTACAGCAAACACACGCTCGACTGTACCGGTTTCACTCGTTCATTGTGACGTAGGCGCGTGACCCGAAGCTTGTTGTTGTGCAAAATTTGCTTGACGTGTTGGAGCTCGGCGGTCAGGTGTTTACTGTCACAGACAACTTGTGCTCTCTGAAACAAAGATTTTCCCACGGTAGGTAATTTTGAAGGATGGTGATAAGAATCACCGCTTAAATATCTGTCTGTATGGGTCTTTTTTCTATACACAGTGCGGCCCTAGGTATTATCGATATTCCGTATTTGCTAATAAATCTAAAAAAGCTAAAGAATTATTTGCTTAGTAACTAAATTGTGAACTTAATTTTAGAATTTGTGGAGAAAAGATGACCTAAAAATGCAGTTACTTTATCTAAGGTAGAATTTTAAATACGGGAAGGAAGAAGGGCTTGTTTTTCAAAGTCCTCCATGAATCGGCGTTGATGGGAGATGCAGACGAGTGCATCGCCACACCATCTACCTGCTTATGCTTCCTTACACAATATGCAGCGAGATGCAAAGCAGTGTCTAAGTAATACTGCATATTCTAAGGCCATGGTGTTTTTTTTTCTGTTTTCTAGTTACCATTGAGATTCAGCCTAGAACAGCTAAGCATGTGGAAGCAGAGGATTGTACACCAAAACTGACCATAATTTCATTACTTCTTCCAGATGTAATTCTTTGAATTCGCTAACAAAATAATAAGGATCTTTTGTGTGTAAGAAATCATTGATATAAAATTATTATTTATTCATTTTTGTAACATGTAACATTTATCCTCAATTAAGAATCAAAATGCAAATGCGTTGTCGCCCCTGAGGACTGAGATAGAATGCCTCATTTCCGGTAAAAAGGGTCTTCGGTTCTCTACACTCACCGTACGAAACTACGAAACAGCAGCATTTAGCTTCTATTTTCCGCTAGTATTCTTTGAGAGCGTGGTCCTACTCCGGTTGAGCCGACCCATTCGTGCTACAATAATAATATAGGCCTAGCGTGGCTCTACCACGTTTTTTGATACGTATATATATATATATATATATATATATATATATATATATATATATATATATATATAATTGTAGGTGCGTCTGTTAGTGATCGTGTACTTTTTGAATGACTTGACTAATTGAGGTCATATTCACATAATAAATTTATTTTGTACAGACTATGGTTCATAGCTATGGTAGGATCCGATAAGGTCTGCTGTAGTCAAGTAATTAATACATTCTCTATTTGTGGATCAAAATTACTAATATTTTGTAACACGAATCATGCATAAACGAAAGGTAAACTAAATCTATTGCAAAACGATAAATATGCTTCCGTGTTAAATATTCTGCGAGTGATAAAACTCTATAATCCTACCTTAATTTAAAAATTCTGGATAAGATAATTATTAGATTAGTTCTATATGTAATCGTATATAAGATAAAAGTTCTGTATATAAACTAAATTTGAAAAGTTGATGAACATATTTTAAATAAATTACAATTACTAAAAGGTGCGTCTCAAAAGCTATAAAATATACTATATAATTCAATATATATATATATATATATATATATATATATATATATATATATATATATATATATATATATATCACAAATTAATAATTATTTTACGTTATTAAATGCTGCTTTGTTTACAGCAAGTATGAAGTTCCTGTTATTAATTGCCGCTGTCTTCGCTTTGGCCGTTGCCGGCCCCACAAAACGGGATTTAGTCCAACCTGTCGCCGCTGGTCCTGCACCTGTCATCGACTTGGATCAACTGGAACCCATTGCTATTGGCCCCGCCGTCATCGACAACTTTGAACCTATCGCCATTGGACCTGCTCTCGTTGACGATTTCGAGCCCGTTGCTATTGGACCAGCTATCGTGAATCCCGCTCCGGTTAGCCCCTCTGCCAGCGCTCCTCTGGTTCAAATCGTCCTGAACATTAAATCGACTTCTGATGTTGCAGGATCTCCCGTTGCAATTGATACTATCCCCTACCCCGAACCCACTCCCGTCCAGGTGATTGATGAAGCCGTTATCCCTGACCCAGTTATTGTCGTAGACAAGCCCATTGTCCCTGAACCCGTTATCGTTGTGGACAACCCTATTATTCCTGAGCCCGTCACAGTCATTGAAGAAGCGGCAGCTCCTGAAGGTGTTATCGTCGCTGCACCCATAATCCCCGCTCCTGCTATTGTACTTCCTGAAATCTTAAACTAAGTAACTACTATATGTAGTTACGGTGAAGTTTCTGTGATACAAAAATTTTAGTATTGATGTCTCACAAAAATGTACATACACACAATCTTTAGATCAATGTGATCAAATAAAGGTCTGTTTATTCATTTATTTAATAAGATTTTTGTTGATTTTTATAAAACGTGTCTTTCTTTTGAGAATACATTTTTATTTATTACAATAAGTATTTATTTAGCATCGTTATAATAACGTTTTCAAAACAATGCCAACGCACAGATCAAACATTAAAACTTTACCAACACCGTTAAAATACCCTTGTTACCTTTAAATAAAATAAAACAAAAAAAGGCTGGCACAGAACAAGGTAATCGCGGTGTTGTATATTATGCAGATTTTTGTTCCAAAAAGACCTAATGTCGGTCACTGTAGCCAGTCTAAACGGAGACTATTTATATGCGTAGGACAGAATTATAGTGCACGAATGTGTGCGCAAGACCAGGTCGACATGCTCTCTCTAGTCCTTCATTATCATAGTCCGATCAGGCGCAAGACTACCCACCACAGTTTCACGTGTATTCATCTGTTATCGTAAATAATCTCACACGTTGGTTTTACCGTGATCACACTGTCCAGTTCCGCCGTGGTCATAATGTTAGTTGGCAGAAGCTTCTAGACAATAACTCCTTTACCATTCCCTATTGGTGTTGGCTGTTGTTATACACGTTATTCCAGCTCCAAACCACTAGTGCTTACGCATAATCTTGCCTTCCAAAACCCAGCTAAGTAGTTCCATGCAAGTAAACCATGCTTTGGCTCTTTTTTGTATTTGAGTGGCAGTATTCTGAAGTATAAGTAGCACCCAAACTATTTCCACGATTTCCTAAAGTTAGAGTTATTTTTATTGCAGTATGAGCACTGAAGTTACTCTGCCAGACTACGAATAGTGGATCTGGGGGTCATTACTATAAGTATTTTAATTATTTTTATTTTTAATTATTATTAACAGCGGTAGAGCCACGCGGCAGCTTTCGCTATCGCACGGATGGCCCCACATAATACCAGCGTGAAGTAGAGATTTACCGAGAGAGAGGCCCAATTCCCCCCCACCCCTTAACATGGCAGCGGAATCAATTAAAAAACTACCACAGGAGGATACTAGCACCACCGGTGATGAGAAATCCCTCACTGAACATCCACGACCAAGCTATTCTACTTTCCCTGAGCGTGGGTCCTCAGTCTGCCCCGCGTATTCTGGGGGTGGGGTAGGTGCAAAGGAGCAAGCGGAGACCAAGGCGAACCCTGTCACGCTATCCGTGAATTTTTACAATACAGGGGAATTCATTCCAACTTTAAGGCTGTCCACTACCATCTGGAGTCAGCGAAGTCGGCCTTACTCTCTTTAACCAAGACTCAAGTTCGCTCTCCAGCTGATACTTCATATCTCTCCTACCCGCGGTACAAATTAGAACACTTCTTTGTTCCTGGGGCTGGAGTTTGCGAATACGTCAGAGAGGACATCTGTTTTCCACGCCTCGGCAATCTTGATGGTACGGACCTGTCCACCATATGGCTGCGAGTAAACAGCGACAACTATCCCCGCGCCTACGAGTGTCTCTATAGGTCCTATAGCGGTAATGCCGAAACAGAACGATTTATCGAACACGTCCAAATGGCTACAGATTCCGTGCTACAGCTGATTCCATCCACAGTGATCATGATCCTTGGCGATTTTAACGCCCATCACGCCGAATGGCTTGGTACACGTTTAACTCATCATGCGGGGAGATCTGTTTATGACTTTACCAAGGCGTATGGTTTAAAACAACTGGTTATTTCGCACACCTTCCCTGTTGGACCTTCTGCTGACCTCTCATCTGGACGAATATCAGGTTTTCGTTGACGCCCCTCTAGGCTAGTCGGACCACTGTCTTGTCCGGAGTGTGGTGTTAGACACATTAACGTCGCGGTTGCATTCTGCAGGCTGAAGACTTGTTTGGCACTATAGGTCAGCCGCCTAGAGTAGGATGCGGTCTTTTTTTGCATCCTACCCTTGGGGCCGAGTTCGCTCGGCGGACGATCCCAAAGTTGTTGCTGATTCTATCGCTGATGTGGTACTTCAGGGTATGAAACTTTTTATTCCATACTCTGTGGTGTCCATCGGACGCAGATCCCAGCCATGGTTTGGTCGCTCCTGTAAAATAGCATCACGCTATAAGCAGGAGTACTACCGGGCCTGGGTTGAAGCATCAACGTCGCGGGATTTAAACACCAGCGCTCTTAAAAAGAAGTATAATTCCGCCTCCAGGTCTTTCAAAAGAGTCGTTGTCAAGGCAAGATCTGAATACATCGGCAGAATTGTCGAGAAACTAGTTCGCCTTCCTTCGGGAACCGGTGCATTCTGGTCTATTGCCAAGGCTGTCCAAGGGATCTTCTGTCAGTCATTTCTTCCATCTTTGCACAGAGAGGACGAGTCACTGTCCCATGCCGCAAAGGAGAAAGCCGATCTGTTAGGCTCTTTCTTTGCGTCCAACTCGACTCTCGATGACGGGGGCCGCCGACCATCCCGCAGTGTCGGTGTTCCATGCCAAATGTGCAGTTTACACAGCGCTCGGGTCACAAATCACTCCTCTCCCTGGACGTAAACAAGTCGAGTGGGCTTGATGGAGTCCCTCCCATTGTGCTCAAGACGTGTGTTCCGGAGTTGGCACAAGTTTTATCGCGTCTTTTCCGGTACTTTTAGTTCCCAGCCGGGCTAGCATGGGCAGGAGACAAAATTTTTATCCCCCGATTATATCCACTAACAAGGGATAAAATTGTCTTATCCCTATGCCAAAGCAAATCCCTATCCACCCTGCGAGCATGGGCCTATGGTGGATATAATATCGACAGTAGATAAACTTATCCCCGCGCATGATAATATACCATAGTATAAAGCTATAAACTATAAACTGCACGTACAAGGTACAAGTACAAGGAAACAAAGCGAAACACCATAAAACTGTGACGCTCCCGCAGTAAAAAATACGTGTGGCACTCAGTGACTGCCGCGGTAAAGCTATTGCATAGCATTTTTTATCAACTTATGCAATTATAATTATTTATTTATTTTATTTATGCAGTTAAGTCTTTGATATTAAATCAAGTTACACTTTATGAGCGTGGTGACCGATAAGAAAACAATTTTTTTTCTGTTATTGAATAAATGAGAAGTTAATATTGTTTAAAATATTTTTAATATCTTACAATACATGTAGGTTATTCAGGAATTTTTATCATTGAGTTAGCAGCTAGTGTACACGCATACGTCTAGTCGCACGCACACAAACACCGTGCCGAAGTCTGCGAGTGCCGAAGTCTGCCGAACTGAAACGACGTTAGACGATACACGGCTTTCAACGCCACACCTCCGTGCCCGTCGGAGTGGGGAGCGTGAGGTTTTTTCTCGTTACGGAATTTCTGGATTCGGTCCCCGCGCTCAAGGCCCGCGATAGAAGCTATGCAATAGCTTAAAAATTCGAAAAGTGATAAAAAAGTGAACACATTTGAGTGTACTTAGTGTCAACATTTGCGTATTAACGAGACGCATCTATTGGTGTAATTTTTTTAGCCGCAAAACAATTTTTAGTGATTTTTTAAGTGAAAACCCGTTTTTTCTCATATTAGCAAAACAGTAAATCGCTTGCGGCGCTCGATTAGTCGCCACAACTTGCACAACCTTTTTAGTGATTTTGTGCGCCACCTGGGGACACATCATGCTCCAAAAATTTGGAATTTTTGGATAAAGGACACCTGAGTTATTAGAGGAAAAACGAAAACCACGTGGTAGGTGTTTTCGCGAACCAGGAGTCTGCGGCTGGAATTGAAGGTATCGGCGGCGTCTCGGAAAGCTCTTTTCGAAATAATATACATTATTAGCCGGAAGTGTATATCCTCGGAATAACCACACTTTTGCAGCTGGTGTCCCACATCTTGTAAGTTTGGACTCTAATAACTTTTATTTTGGAGTAACGACATCCCTACTTTTTTTATATATAGAGGTCAAACTCATGCCCTTACTGTGGGTGAAATTCAAAACTTTTTAGATAAGCAGTTTCTTAATAGTGAATTTTTCTGTAAAACATATCTCTTTTCGCCATACCGTGATAAGTGTGTTTTACGTGTAGTGGCTATCTAAACTAAGCACTAGCTCAAAAAAAAATGAAATTGTCGTTCACTTTAATAGTTATGCTGGGGCTACATTAGCGGGCGAAGATTCGTATCGCGTTGGCGCGCAAAACATCCGTTGTCGGACATACACAATGTTCTTGTCTACATTGACGGGCGAAGATTCAGAAAGCGGCCTACGGCGAATATTCGTTGTTTAGTTGTGCGGCCAAGACGATGGAGGAAGCAGTGGCTTTGCATTATATGTCAGTAAATTATTATTATTACATTTGTACGAATATCAGTGAAATAATATAAAAAAGAGAAGAAAGAGGAGATGGTGGATGACTACTATTCACAGAAAGCGAACGATGTAAGTGCACAGCACAATTGCTAAAATAATGGGTAGACTTGATATAATGTTCATATTTGACATTTTATGCGCGAGACATTAAGTATTTTGTAGTGAGACTTTGGAGGCATGAGTATAATAATTTTACTTTATTTTCTCATTTACAGAACAGGAATGGAAAGTATGTTAACTGAGCTAACCTTAGAGTCTGGCATAGAATTCTCTGGATTTTTTCGTATGTCGACATCTGACTTTTAAATACTACTACAGAAGCTCGCACCACTTATCACCAAAAAAGATACAAAATTCAGAAAAGCAATTCCTGCAAAAGTGTGATTGGCAATAACACTACGTTATCTAGCGACAGGAGATAATTTTCGAAGCCTTCATTATCTTTTCAAAATATCTCATCAACTCATTTCCAAAATAGTACATGAAGTTTGTGCAAGTCTCTTGATCGTTTTGAAAGACGAGATTAAGGTAAGAAAAATACATTATTTTACTCACAGTTTAGTTTTATTTCAATATAAGTGCCTAGGTGACATCCAATTTTTAAGAAAAAAACATATATTATAATCAATAAAAAAACTCCGTCATTTCTATATGAATGATATTTCCACCGGTCTCCGATAACATAATTTGTGAGGTTCTCCGAGATTGCGATGGAAGGATCGGGGACTGGTAAGTTTGATTCTGTGGTGACGGAGATGGTGATGAATGGATCGGTGATTGGTAGGTTTGGTTCTGTGGTGACGGAGATAGCGATGGTTGAATTGAAGACTGGTAAGTTTGGTTCTGTGGTGACGGAGATGGTGATGAATGGATCGGTGACTGGTAGGTTTGGTTCTGTGGTGACGGAGATCGCGATGGTTGGATTGAAAACTGGTAAGTTTGGTTCTGTGGTGACGGAGATGGTGATGAATGGATCAGTTACTGGTAGATTTGGTTCTGTGGTGACGGAGATGGCGATGGATGGATTGAAGACTGGTAAGTTTGGCTCTGTGGTGACGGAAATGGTGATGAATGGATCGGTGTCTGGTAGGTTTGGTTCTGTGGTGACGGAGATGGCGATGGTTGGATTGAAGACTGAGTGTTTGGTTCTGTGGTGACGGAGAGGGTGATGAATGGATCGGTGACTGGTAGGTTTGGTTCTGTGGTGACGGAGATGGCGATGGATGGATCGGTGACTGGTAGGTTTGGCTCTGTGGTGACGGAGATGGCGATGGATGGATTGAAGACTGGTAAGTTTGGTTCAGTGGTGACGGAGATGGTGATAGATGGATCACAGATTGATATTGATGTGCTCGGTCAACCCGATCTATCATGCATGCTTTAATAATCATAGTATGCATATCATTCATAAGAATATCTCATGTATTAGGGTTTTTAATTTTTCGTAATTTAACTAGCAATCAATTTTCCAAACATTTCATATTCGTCGCTAACGCTGCTTTTAACGTGCTCAAATGTCTCTTGCATTTGTCTCTTCGCATGTAATATTTCTGAAGGAAATTTAATTTTTGCTAGCTTATTTGTTGTTCTTGAGTTAAGCGAACTAGTGGGAATTGGATCTTCTGTATTACGACTAACTGTATTTACTTCATCTTCGTCGTCACACTCGGCATGCTCTTCTTGTACACTTTCATTCTGAAATAATAATTAAAATTGTTTCAGATGCCTGCAAACGAAGAAGAATGGCTGCAAAAAGAAGCTAGTTTTCGTGATATCTTTCCACATTGTATTGGAAGCATTGATGGGAAACATGTTCAAATTTTATCACCAACTCACATTACAAAATCTATCATGGTATATAAAAGTATCGCTTCATGTATGCAGATGTTGGTTGCCAAGGTCGAATTAGTGACGGTGTAGTATTCAGAAACAGCTCATTATTTGTGAAACTACAGACAAATGCCCTTAGTTTACCAACTCCTTCTACGCTTCCCGGTTCTGATATCATCGTGTCTTTTGTATTTGTGGCGAACAACGCGTTTCCTTTACATACAAACATAATGAAGCCATACCCTGAAGATCATCCAGAAGGCAGTATTAAAAGAAAATTTAACACGAAACTGTCAAAAGCCCGTATAGTTGTAGAAAATGTGTTTGGAATTATGTCTGCCGTATTTCGCGTACTCAGAAAGCCGATCGCACTTCAACCAGATCGCGCCTCTAATGTTGTCATGTCTTGTACAGTTGTCAGTACAGACAAACAAACAGACAATCTAATATTGTATATTACTACACAACTTCTTAAGAAACAGTTCATCATCAAATAATATGTATATACCACCAGGTTTTGCAGACACTATTATAAATGGACAAGTAGTTCCAGGTAAATGGCGAAATGAACAACCAGAAGAAACTGCCTTGCGCCCTTTTTCGGCGGTAGCTAGTAGGGGCGGTCTTTTACCAACGCAAATCAGGGACAAGTTTGCTCAACATTTTTTCCATCAATAAAAAGTATGTTTTTATTTTGATCAAGTTACACTTGTGGAATATGTATAAATATAGGATGTACCTATTAAATAAGCATGTTTTGTTATTATTTACCTGCGTATCTATAGTCCGGCGGCAATCGTATATAGGCTGAAGAAAACTAGTCGTAGCCGAAAAGGCGAACTAATTTGTCTGGTATATGTCGTCGGAATCAGCTCCTGACTTCATCGATTTCTTAATTTTATTGAGATGGGCTCTGTAATATGACATCAAAGAATCTTTTTTCTCCTTCATTTCTTCTACTGTGGTAGGCCAACTGAGCTTGTTTTTAATTCTAACCCACGCATCATGTACCAAATGTTTCTTTTTGTGGTCGGGGTTACTAGGATTCCATATAATATTCTCAGTTTCATAAAACTGAATGAACTCTAACACTTTTTCGTTACTCCACTCCATAGTGTACAAAAACACAAGAACGTCAGTCCCGCTTCAAAGTCTGGACGACACTGAAGTGACGTAGGTGTGGTCACTCAAGCGAATATTGTCGCGACTAGTCCTTTGAAGCGCGCCAGTTTACCGACAGTGCCGCGATGCTACATCGTCTGCACGCGAATACATCGCGTTGCAACGATGTACCCGGCCACATACATCGCCGTTATTCCCGTAGCCCGAATATTCGCCGTAGCCCGCTAATGTAGCCCCACCATTAGGAATACATTGGGTGCGTTTGGCAGAAAAAAGCGTTAGCAAGCTTGTAAGCAAAATGGCGAAACTAAACAGTTTTCGGCCAGGACACGTTTGCTAATTCAGTAGCGCTGACACAATCCGCCATTTTGCTTATTTAATTTGTTTGTTTTGAAGTAGAGTTTATAAGTTGTTTTGTGCAATATTAGTTTAAAGTAATGTAATGACATGAATAGACATATACATGTTATTAAAAATTCATGATTGGTAAGTTTTTAATATGAATACTTTACAAACATATATTTAAATTAGGTTAGGTTCCCCGGTTAAAACTAACTTCGTGTCCTAGAGGAAAATAGCTACTTACGATTTGACAGCGCTCACCGCTTACGATCGCCATTTTACTTACAAGCGCTTGCTAGCGCTTTTTTCTGCCAAACGCACCCATTGATTTATATCCATTTTACATTTTTTTTTCTTCTCTTAACTTTATTTCATGCCCAACCTGTTTTTTTCTATATTTGTTATAACATCTCTGCACGTCGTTAATTTAACATATTAGATTTAACCTGTAAAGGTCCACTTTTTTATTATCCTATTTTAATTTTGCATTCTACTTTCCATGTTACAAATTTTACTTGTGAACGCTAATTTAGTTGTAATATCCCATAGATATAACAAAGAAGTGAAGTGTAATATCCACTTTATATTTTTAATTAATTTTAGTAGACTTTATATAGCTGATAAGTTCTTTTTTTGCATATACTTACCTTTTTTCTCTCTTTTAATATTGGTTGGGCTAGTTTAATAAACAGCCGAAATTTGTTTGTTTATTTGCTCTGAATACTCGCAACTGTTGCACCAATGTTACTTTGGTTTGGATGTCCGTGTAATTCGCGGGTCGATGTGAATCTTGCTTACTATTGCTTCGTTATAATTATGGACATTTTTCGTCACGTGATCGATATAATGTCAATGCCTCGCGTCATGAGAAAAGGGCACGTTTTTCGCTGCTCCCAAATATATGTTCTACCGCAAGTTCTTCCCCGAATTGGATCATCGTGAGGACCGAAATCCGTGTCAGGCAGGAGCATCCGCCTTCGTATATTCAGGTACGTCCGACCTTAGTAATATTGTCTAGTCAACGGTGTAGAGTATAATCAACCAGCGTCTATGCAAACTACAGTCCATTTCCCATTTTCCACTAAAAAATGGTCCATCTCACGGGATGACAATTGGATTGGAACTACTAAATACGTAAATCCGATTGTGATTCGACTCTGCGACGTAATCGATAATGAACCTTATTGCGGGATACTTAGGTTGATGTCGACTATTTTATACGGTTAGTTGCCGACTTGTAAATATTACTGAATTTTGAAGTATTTTCCGCATCGCATACAGCCGTTTACTAAATCGATTTTATATGTTTATTACTAAGAAACATTCTAATTAATCGCATCGACTCTTAGACAGCTGTCGCATTTAATTTACTTACTTATTATTATCATCTCGCTCCGTGAATATTTAAATCGGTTCGATTTAATTTACCTAGTGGGTAGAAATCACCGCCGTGCCGCCGCGCCGCGCCGGCAACCGTTGTGCAGTTTAAGTACAGTATCGTACCTTTTCTTAGGTACATATACGTATGCAGCGCATTACATATGTTAAAACTGATTTGAATTTCTAGTGGACTTCGCAAAATTTGTATACTATAAATACAGTTAAATTCTTAAATACTTATTAACTAACCTGCTCATTTATATTTCTTCAATCACGCGTGAAAATTAATTTACATTTAATTCGTATCCATAAAGATACTTTTACTCACTTTGGGGTAATATAATCGTGTTCTAATAAATATATTCACAATGAATGCCTTATGCAAATTAAATTGTTAGAAGCTAAGCGTCAATTTTATTTCTCACAAATAAATAAGACCTTTCAACTATCATCGAAAACAGATGAAAAATCACGGCATAGTTTCTTATCACAAGCTCGCGCCTTCGATCAATTACGTAAAGAATTTGTAACTTTGGTTGATGATATAAATTTATTAAATTTGGAAGTAGATCCCGATTATAGTATTAAGTACCAGCCGTTATCAGCGTTTGACGATTTATATTATTTTATTAAGGATCTTCTGAATAGTATGGCGAGACCAAACCCACAATCGCAAGCTGTCACACATGCAATTACTCAGGAACATACCATTAAGATTCCTCGTATTGAATTGCCTATTTTCGATGGTGAATTACAGAACTTTCCTTATTTTTTCGAAACGTTTAAACGTGTTATACAAGAAAATACGGATGGACGGATGGAAAACGGATTCGGAACGTATTGATTATTTAATAAGCCACCTTTCCGGAAAGGCAAATCATATATGTGCTGGTATACTCCCGGCGGCAGATAATTACGTAATTATTTGGCAAACGTTACTAGACAAATACAAGGATAACAGAGCTTTAGCTACGACATATCTAAATCAGTTATTTGCATTAAAAAATATTAACGGTCCCTCTGCAATAAATTTAGAAAAATTGGTAGATAAATACGCGGCCACAATCGCAGCACTCAAACCACTTAATATAGATAATTTAAGTGACTTTATTTTTGTTTACATGGGCCTAAAGCTCGTAGATTGCGATATTATTATGACAATTTAGGAGGTGGTTCAAATATTCAAAATCCAATAAAATCATTGGAATTCAATAGAGTAGCCTTTGGACTAAAGTGTAGCCCAATTTTAAAGTTCAAAAATGTTATTAAACTAAGTTTGTATAAAAAGGGTTATTATAATATTAAGGAATTTATGGATGATAATAACCCCTGGGAAGGGTGATCGCTACCAAGCTATTTCTAATTTGTTTTGTGTTGTTAATTGTAAACATTTTTTACATGTTATGTTTTTGCTGGCATGATGCCAGCAAAAACATAACATGTAAAAAAAGCAAGTCTCGCAGCTCAGTTCTTCTACCGTAAAAAGTTGTGAGATCCATGTAATACCAAGTCGGTTAATTTATTCAGTTCCTACTTAAGGGTCCTTCTGTTTTAAGTTATTACGTAATTAGCTAACGTAACAACATTTTATAATGACCATATCAATCTTAAATATGTTTTATGTTTTAAATATATAGATTGACATGGCCTTGGTATTTTATAAAGACGTCGGTCGATATTCGTAAAAGAATTTAAGTACTTACTTTAAGTGATTATTTCTTGTATATAATATGCATTGTTATATTTATGAAGTGTAGAAATTATAATAAGTAAAACTTAATATGTCACAGATCTCGAAAAACTAAAAATTAGGCGAAGTGTAGGGCGGCACGGACGGAGTGACGACCTGGTAAGACATGCAGAAAGTCGATGGACGCAGGTCTATGTTCAGCAGTGGACTTGTGAAGGGCTGTAATGATGAAGATAATGATGATGATTTATCGGAAATTGGATGAAGTTTTGTATTAGATACAGTTTTAGTTTCCATGTTTAGGTATCAAATACATCATCAAATCATTCAATGCTCCTTGCCAATTCCGGCTACAGCAGCACTTACCATCAAGAGGCATAGTAGTCAAGCGCTAACTTGTAATAATGAAAAAAAAAATCCTTGATAAAGTTATATTTTTTTCCTAACACCGAGCGAAGGTCTGTCCTACAAGTGGGTCTACTTGTTTACTATAGGCGAAGTGCTTCTGGTAGCCCGGTGTTCATCTCTTGACCGGCTTCGACTACAGTGAAACTATAAAATCGCTGTAAATGACAACGATGCAAGTAATGTTGTAACACTATTGTAGTCCAGTTCATACCCATATCAAAGGCCCTAACTATGCGATAAGGTTGGAAAAATTCATCCTAGAGACAAAAGGACAAACATATTTTTTTTAATTCACATATTTTTTACTGTATCATGGAAGTGCTTTTACATAAACTGCATGTATATATATCTAGACTAGGAATAATAATTTTTTGGTCGTAGGAACCATCGACCCGTGCTGGATCTGAACCCGTAGCCCTCAACGTCGCAGTTAACGCCTACCGAATAATTTGTGTGTTGTATTAGCCCTTAATGTATGATGTGTCATCAACTCTTATAGTGATACCGTAATTGTTAAATAGTTGACGATACTTCGCTCTTATTTTCAAGAAATTAATAAAAAAATACATTTTGAAAGATTATTAGAACGTACAATTTTTGAATTATAGAATAAAAGAAGCGTAATGCGATGTGTTTCGTATAGTAAGTGTAGAGAACCGGAGACCTTTTTTACTGGAATCGAGGCATTCCATCTTAGTCCCCAAGGTTGACAACGCATTTGCATTTTGATCCTTAGTTGAGGATAAATGTGGATGTTAATGCGCCATAGCATCCAATTCCCATCAGGTGAACTGTGTACTCGTTTTTCACCTAGTGCTATGAAAAAAAAATACAAATTTAAATATTCAGATTGTGTATAACCGTTGTGTGTAGCCGTGTAGTGGCGGTGTAAGAACACCTACTATCCAATAATAACGTCCCGTGGGTGTCGTAAGAAGTGAAACCGGAAATCTGCCAAACTGTGGCGATACGTCAAGACATTTCGTCTATGTTACATCGAAGTTCAGTGCCTAAAGCGAATCTATCAAAAGGCGAATTTATAGCGTTAAAAAACCTACGCAATAAACTATAACTCACGATTCGCCGTGCAGATAAGGGAAACGCCAGTCATGTATACGTCAGATTATAATTCTTAAATACAAGAATTTTTTTCAGATGTAAACACTTATAA